AAGGGATAGACAAAGGGTAAGAGACCATAGAATGAACAAAGAATGAAGGGGTGGTCAAAGGAATGGAATGATGAAGTAAGGAAGGGTAGTAGTAAGAGTCAGCATGCATATAGTTCATAGATGGCACCCCTGAGGGAGAGAAGTCCTGAGTTCTGGTACAGAAGGGTGCAGAACCCTCAGAACTGAAGGTATGAGAGTAGAGAATTGTAACAAACAGGGCTTGTACAATAGTTTCATACATTTGTTGTGAAGTACCCAACAAAAGAGCATTGTGGTGCCTGTAGGGATTTGATACAATGTTGTAAGCTATGTTTGTAGGGCTAGGAACAAGTCTCTGCAGAGTTTTTGAGGCAGTTTTGTATGTCTGTTGTGAAGTACCCAACAATAGAGCATTGTGGCTCACAGGGGGATTTGGCACAACATTGTAAGCAAAGTTTGTAGTACTTGGAAGATACATTAATGAGGCCTGTGCTTGTAATTGTATTGGCAGTTAGAACGTGTGCATTCTGCAAACTTGTTAACAATAAGGCATAGTATCCAAGTGAACATAGAGTACAGGATTGATCTGTAGGCTCAGAGTGAAGGATTTGGCAAAGGTATTGATGAACTGTTGTCAAGGCTGGATCATAGGATCAACTTGCAATTGTTCCTAGCATCCTGAGACTTGAATAGAAATACTAGAGACCTAGGATAGGATAGTTACTTTGTGAATAAATCTAGGATAACATAAATACATACCTGAGTATTCTGTTGTTACTAAGGACTAGGATACACAGCCAAGGAAGGGTACATGGACTGTGCCTGTCTGCTTGCAATTTTGCCACTAGGAACCAAAGGTTGTTGCTTGTGTTTTTTTGCGTCTGGTTGAGCCTTTGTTCCACTTTGAGTGTCACTACTGTATGGGTCTTCATTTCTACGTTTTGGTTGTGTTTTTGAAGGAGGTAATTGTGCTCCAAATGTCTTGCAAAACTCTGCACAGGTTGTCTTGTAAGGTGCCAGCTTAACTGACTGAGGCAGCTCAGCAGCTTGTGTCTCTTCAAGCAAGTTCTTAATGAGGTTGTCCACCTCTAGCAGTTTTTTGACATTAATTGAGTGTTAAGAAAGGGAAGAGAGGTTATGTGAGAGGCTTAGGGAGATCACACAAAGAGGGGGGATAGTGGACTCAGCTTGCTCTCACACAGCTTGCTTCATTGTCCATTGATTAGTTAGTCTATATATACTATGTAGGTATGTCTCAGATGTAGAATGTATGATGGAAGGTATTCTATTATTGTTTGTCATTGCTTGTAATGTAGTTTATATCATCTAAGACATACTCTTGTGTAGTCTTGTCTTAACACTCCCCTTCAAACTCTTACTAGGTCTAGTAGACTTGTAAGATGTTTGCTTACAGTATGTATAGATAGTTTAATCATTATAACTGTATTGTACAATTGTTTGTTTGTGTAATGTGTTTATAACTTGATGTAGTTAATA